AAAAAAAAAAAAGGAGGAGGAAAAAAAATCGGTCGTAAATCGGCCGATTTCACGATCCGCGCGAAGCGAATCCTTGACAGAGGGTGGAAGCTTTATTTTTTTTTACGGCGTTCGAGCGACGCGTATGCATACATTAAGACTCGTGGAGGAAAGGGAGGGGGGAATAACTTGATGTTTGGAATCATGGAATATGCATTTAACGTCACGTACGCTCGTAAAAAAAGATCGCAACTGAGGAGATCGAAGGAGAAGGGGGTGCGAAGAGAGCAATAGAATATATATTTATCGTGTACTTACATACGACGTCGATTTTCCAAGTCTCCTCCAGGAACAGCCCCGTCACGTTTGGATTTTCCGCCCTGCAGGTGATCAATTTCCCGTGATCCTCCACGCCTGGCTCGAACTCTACCATGCTCACAGTCCGATTCTCCCATCTCTCCTCCTGTGTGCGATACATCCGCGTTTACGTGCTTTTCGCGGATCTAACCCCTTATCTAGAAACTATTCTTTAAATAATTTACAAAAGAAGAAAAAAGAAAATTTCCTTCTACGCAAAATTCCACGCTCTCCCACCCCTCTCACTGTCTCTTCGGCGAGGCGAGCTTAATTTCGGGAAAATAACGATCCCGCGACGTATCGTGAGTCCTCTCAATTCCACGGCGATGGCGCAAGGTGGCGAGAGTCGAGGGGAAAAGGAAAAAAGGAAGAGAAAGGGAAAAACTTGGACTCGGTAACTCGGTATGGTTAATTTTGGTTATATTAAGGTCGAGAGGCGGACCGTAAGCAACCGGGTGGCAACATCTGCTGGAAATTCATCCCCGGACTCGAAAGGACCCCCGCCAAAGTCCTGCCGCCAACGCCCGCCCGTGGAATCCTTTCTAAAGAGCTCCGCTCCGCCGGACTCCGCCGAGCGTAAATTTCACAGCCAGCTTCTCGCGCAAGAGATTCTCTCTCGCGTTTTTCTCTCTATCTTCCACTGCTTTCAGAAAAGACCCACCTCCCCATATCCCAGCCACTTTGGCCGAGAATTTTGTTTCAAAGCGCGTCAACCAGCCCTCGAGTAGTCTCTCTCTCTCTCTCGATTCTCTCGTTACAACGGTAACGATTGGGAGGAGGGAGGAAGAAGAAGGAGGTTTAAGGAGATGGGAGGGAAAAAGGCGTCGCGGAATTTCATTTAGAAATATTTATAAAGGCCTTAAAGCGCGGCGGTGCTCTGGCATTTCGGAGGGAGGGGAGCGAAGAAATAAAGATGACGTACCGCGCGATTACACTGCGGCTCCACGAGCGCAGTTTTCTACGGTGCTTTGGCTACGAACCGCTAACGAGATCCTTTCCCCTCCCCATCCTCCGTGAACGCCGTAACACGGAACGCGTGGCGAACGGGTAAAGACAGGCTGAACGACTATGGGATAATCAGGATGGTAATGCGATAGAGGCGGTCTACGTGTCCCGCCGCTTATAGGATCTGCTTAAACGTTAATATCTCCCCTCCAACCTTTTCTCTCCCGCCTTTCGCGGTTGTATTTTATTATCCGTCGCTTGGAGAGGCCGCATCGACGAGAATTTTAAACAGCTCCCCCTCCCTCCCTCCATCTTCCTTCCGAATAACCGAATAAACGAGCCGGATCGCACCCTTATCGTTTGCCTTCTTTAACCTCTTCACGATCGGCTTTCAAAATCGAGATGCCCGCGTACAATATATAATAAGCGCGACGGTTAACTAACTTGGATTTTCGCGGCGCAAGGGAGGGGGACTCATTAAAATTCCCCGCGTTATTCCCCGGAATATTCGATCGCAACGCGGCCCGTCTCATCGGCGAATCTTCACACGTAATCCACGTGGGCCTCGCCCAAGAATTTTAATTTCGCCCCCATAAAAGTTGGGAAACCGTCGAGATGGTCGGTCGCGCGCCCGAATTAGAAT